CTCATAATTGCCTTTGTTTTCTCTTAAAGCATATGTCTTGTCAATCTCAAGACTTCTATAAAAGAGTGGTCCATATATTACCCCTGGAAAACTCGACACGAGTAAGCCAATAAAGCTAGCTAATTCCTTTATGGGTAACTGTGCAAGACCTTTTACCTTGTTACAAGATTCTTTAACATGGATAATTTTTTCCCTTGTTAAAGTAATGGTCATTTTTACAGAGTCCAGGACAAACYCTAGAAAGGTGAGTGTCTGAACYGGTTGTAGTACTGACTTCACAGGGTGTATAATAAACCCCAATTTTTTAAATAGGTCACATGTATCCCTAATATTGGCTGTGCAATCTTCAATGCTCTCCCCTTGTAAGTACGAATCATCAATGTAGCCAACATTTAAGTGTCCCTTTTGACGTAGACTGGCATACACTGGCTTAAGAATTTTTGTGAAAAGTCGGGGAGCACATGCTAATCCATTAGGTAGACATGTGAACTCAAACAATTTTCCTTGCCAGATAAACCTCAGATATTTTCGATAATCCTTATGTATGGGCACTGAGTAATATGCATCGCGCAGATCAACAGATGCCATGTAGCAATTTGGCRTCATAAGCCGAACCGCTGACTGCAAAGTGTCCATTTTAAAATGTTGATACTCAACATAATCATTCAAATTTTTAAGGTTTAAAATGAGCCTGTAACTCCCATCTTTTTTAGGGCGTATGAATATTGTAGATATAAATTCCCCGTAACAATGKGTTGTTTCAACAATAACCCCTTTTGTCTGAAGCTTGTCAATTTCRTTGTCAATGATTGTCTCCTCCTGGGCAGTAAAATGAATCTCCCGAGGAGAATCTACTTGAAGTGGCTCCACACTATCAAATTCAATTTTGTATCCCATCACACTATWAAGTATGAAAATATCTGAGGTTATGTAATTCCAATGGAAAGAAAATTGTTTCAGTCTTCCAGCTATATGTGTTGATGGCATGTTTCCTACCTCAACATTATCAACAAATTCAACATCCGAGTCCGTTTGACTCACTTCTGCTTCCCCTCTTTCTTCTTTTTGAAGTTCTGGGGATGGTTCTTGTTGTAGTTGTCTCTGCCTGAGCCTAAAAAAGGCTTCTTATAACGATGGGATCCATAGCCATGTCGATTTCGGCCATAGCTATGTCTGTTATGATGATAATCAGATTTGGACACTGTGCGTCCGCTGCTTGTTGACACCTTCTTGCCAACACGGTTGACCTCAGTCAACTCTTTGACCTGCTTCGGCAAATCATCGCCAAATAATTGGTCTGTAATTTCCAATGAAGACGAGCACAAATGCTTGTATTCATCGTGTAAGTCTGGTTTAATCAACTCTCTTCGTCTTTGATTTAACTCATTATTTGCATTAGCAAACAGAGCAAGTGCATCAGTTGACWTCTGCAAGAGGTCGTTTCCCTTGGGAAGCGATGTCATATGCGTTAGTAAGCTGTCAATAGTGYATGTCAACGCGCACATTCCTTTAAAGATGGCGGTTTGAACTTTTTGCAGTTTTACATCCTGTGAGCGAATAGATGGGGTCAAATTGTCCCATACCGCTTGATTGACACGGACTTTGGTCAGCGACTCACAGTTCTCCGGTCTATGATATTTATTCATCTTTTCCTGGAGTTTTTCATCCGGTAGACCGTCCTTGCACATGGCATTAACCACGTTTGCAAGGTCTGCGTTTACAGTTGGACCTGTTTCTTCTCTCTTAAGGTCCTGTTTTAAGCTATTAAGCWCTTCAAACTTCCCTTCACTAGAGTTAGTATTAGGGTTTGCTGTGTCTGTCAGCWTTGCTACAGCTGCGTCTATGTTTGTCACGCTCTTGTCCTCAGCATGAGAAGCTTGCTTCTTTGCTGGCGGCTCCTCGAGTTCTTCGAGGTCATTTTCGTCTGCTTCGTCCAGGTCATCACGATACTCGATTTCGAGTTCTGATTTAAACGATTTAAAGGACTCAGCAATGGTTTTCGAGAGCTCCCGAGAGATTTGAGCAAATCCTTGCTGCAAGGAGGACGCCAATTCAGTTGTTGTCGTTTTGGCGCCATTTTTGTCATGATGAATTTCAGCCTGAACTTCAATTTGTTCTATGTTAGATGAAGTTTTCTTTCTTTCTTTTTCCAGAATCTTTCTTGCCCTCGGTCTCAACATTAGTTGGACGTTCGGACATAATTGCGAATTATCGCTGTAAATTTTAAGTACTTTCACAGTGTGAATAAAACACGTTCACTCGYTCGAAAGGCGGCAACACACTGAGTTCGCGCAGGCGCAATGCAATCTCACGTGAGCCCTCAGTGAGGTGACAGGATAGAATAAGCCTTTTTTGGACCTTGAAAACCTTTGCCAGGAACAAAATTATTTGAAGTTATTTCTAACATAGCAGGGGGGGGGGTAAGAGTTTTTTTTTATGCTTCGGAGGGGGGGTTCTGACTAATTTTCTGGTTAAGAAATCTGATTTTACGCCCCTCCCTCCTGGTAATTATTGCACAGGCCCTTAGGTATATGAGTATATGACAAAACTAA